CCTGGGAAGCAGAATGAGATTAAGCCAATCTGTTTGCAGCCTTGGTATTATGTTTGATCCTGAGATAAGCTTCCAATCTCATAATCGTGCTATCACGATTTCCATTAGCTTATCCATTCACATTCCCATTTCTGTACCATTTCCTGTCTGTCCTGTCTCAGTTCGTCTGCTTCTGAATGCCTCATTCATGCCTTAGTTATATCGAGACTCAACCAGTGGGTACTAGTACAGACACACATCTGACTTGTATCCCACATTCTACCCTTCAAAAATCTTAATGCTCACAAACTGCGGCCTTTATTTTCAATTACAGCAAGCCCACTTCCCCTATCATATCCATCCTCACCAACTTAGAATCCCTGTGGTCAAATCATATGAGTTTTAAAATTAACATCCTCAAATCCAAAACCTTCCTAAGCCTTGCCCTTCCCCAGCTCAGTAAACTACTTCAGCCCAATTACAGTCCACGATATCTGCACTCCTGTAATTCTGACATTTAAGCATCTCCAATCTTAATTGCTCCAACCTTGGTGACAGCTGTTTGTCTCCTAAGCTCTGGTTTTCCCTCCCTATATCTCTTTGCCTCTTTACTTCACCTTTCTTCATTAAGAAACATTTTAAAGCTATTTGTTTGTACATTCCATCAAGCCCGAATTAGAATTAGCTGTACTGTCACATGCACTGACACTGAGTACAGTGAAAAGTTTACAAGTCGCCACTTATGGCGGCATCTTAGGTACAAAGGTACCTAGGTACAGATTCTTCAGCACAAATTCTTCGAAAAAATTAGAAAAATAAAGAAATAAGAAGTCCATCATTATAGACTTTCAAAAGTACAAAATCACAGTAATAAATTAGATAAATGGAGAAATAAAAAATCAGAATAGCAGTCCTTCCACGAAAGTATAATAAAGAAGAAAAAAAGAAATTTTAAAGACAAGAGAATTTATGATAGAGTCCACTTAGCTTATTTCACTGCTCTGCACTTAAGGACCCAACTCCAGTTGAAATCCCAGGCCAGACCCACCACAACGTCAAAGGAAACCTGGGCTGGAGTCACAGACTGATTGAAGCCGCCACAAGGAGACCCAATGAAAGCAGCCACTAAAGCAGAAAGGAGACCAAGGCCAGTCCAGGCCAACCATGTCGCGTGAAGACACTGCAGAAGCCTCAAGGAAAACCCAAGCCATTGGAATCCCAGGCCTGGACCCACCTCCTCTTCAGCTGCCACTGAAACAGCACAATTGAAGGACCCACCAGAATGCAGCCACAAGAAATGGCCATCTTGCAGTAATGGTCCGTGATATTTACAGTGGTATTGCCATCTTCCTGGTTGAACTGGAAGAGTCTTGCTGAGAGAACATTGGCGAATTTGTAGCATTACTGTAATTCGTACAGATTATAGAACATGATCTAGAGTACTACAGAGCCTGTTTGGAGAACAGTAGCCTCAGAAAAATCTCCTATCAACTCCTTCTTTAATCTGTCCAGGTACTTTGATTTTAATTCGATTTGATTTATCACTGTCACGTGTACCGAGGTACAGTGAAAAGTGCTGTTTTATGTGCTTTATAGGCACATCAGGATAACAGAACAGAGTGCAGGATACAACGTTACAGTGGCCAAGAAGGTGCAGCGAGAGATCAACATTACCGTTGAAGAGGTCCATTCAAACGTCTGAAACAGTACTTGTGATGTCATCACAGCGGGTGGTGCTTTCTTCATTCAATCAATTATTAACCCTCTCCAACCCTTTCCGACCTATATATGGCAATGCCTTACTGTGTGACGAAGTTTTTGGTCATCTGACTTATACCACCTTATGCGGATCAGCGTCAGGATTTGTTTTACAATGGACCTGTGAAATGTCTTTGGAAATTTAATCACACTAAAGTAATATGAAGTTGTGTTATTTATGAAAGAATCTTCAGCTTTTAATCAAAGAAAATCCTGATAAAATTCTCATGCATAAATTAAGACAGATACAAGGTGGAATCTTATAGGGGTCTGTGAAATTTAGCCTATGATGAGATACATGGCAAATGAGACAAATGTTAAGCAAGAGCCATCTCAACTTTGAAATGATCTTGCCTCAGGTTTTATATGTTTTGCAAATGGCGTGGTGTAGAGCATGAGCCTTGACAGGAGGTGGGTACAATCCCAGAGACAGAGTGAGTGTGGTGTGTTGGAGAGTCGATGTGGAATGAGAAAGAGATTGACCTTCTTCCTACATTGTAAGGCATTCCTCCCGATGGCTGAGACTGCTTTAATCCAGGTGGCAACCTCGGACCAGGTTGGTAAGGTCTGGTGCCATAGTGTCCACTGCTGGTCCTGGGGGAAGAGGAAGTCCTACCTCTGCATTAACCTGCACTGCAAGAGCTCAATGTCCCTCATGCAAAGTGGAGCACCAATTTCCCCCTGTTGCCATGTCAGGAATCTTGCAGGGCAGCACCTGTCTTGATTGATTGATTGTTGTCACATACACCAAGGTACAGTGAAAAGTATTGTTTTGCATGCTATAAGGGTGGATCATACCATACAAAGTGCATCAGAGTAACAGAAAAGAGTGCAAGATGAAATTGTGGAAATAATAATGGAAAGCCAGAATATGGCAGAAAGAATGAATAAATACTTCACAACAGTCTGCATGGTAGAGGACATAAGTAGCATTCCAAAATATTAAATAATCATGGGGCTAAATGGGAAACGAAATATATGCAATATCTACCATAAAGAATAGGCACTATGAAAACTAATGGAGTTAAAGGCTGATAGGTCCCCTTGTCAAGTTGGGTTGCATCTTAGGACTTTAAGGAAAGTAGCTACAGTGATAAAAGATGCAATAGTTGTAATTTTCCAAGAATCCTGAGATTCTGGAAAAGTCCCAGATGATTGGAAAACTGCCAATGTCACAATTTTATTCCAAAAGAGAGGGAGCCAAAATAAAGAACAGGTAACTATAGGCCAGTTAGCCTAATATCTGTCATTGGGAAGATGCTAGAGTTTAATATAAAGGAAATAACAGCAGGGCAGTTAGAAATACATAATATGATTAAACAGATTCAGCACGGCTTCATGAAAGGAAAACCTTGCTGGAAAAAATTATTGCAGTACTTTGAAGAGATAATGAGCAGGGTAGATAAAGGAGAATCAGTAGACGGAATATATTTGAATTTCCAAAACATGTTCTATAAGAAACCGCTTATAAGGCTACTTAATAAGATACCAGCCCATGATATGAGGGGTAGTATATTAGCGTGGATATAGTATTGGCAACAATTATAAAACAGAGAATTGGGGTAAAGGAGGCACTTTCTTGATGGCAACCTGTAAGCCACGGGGTGCCACAGAGTCAGCACTAGGGCCACAATTCTTTACAATATATATAATTGACTTGGATGAGGGAATTGAATGTACTATCTCTAAGTTTGTGGATGACACAAAAATAGGTAGGAAGGTGAGTAGTGATAATGTCACAAAGAGTCTGCAAAGCAATACAGATGGGCTAAATGAGCAGGCAAAAACTTGACAGATGGAATATAATCTGACTAAATGTGAGAGTTTGCAATTTCGCAGGAAGAGTAGAAGAGCTGCATATCCTTTAAATGAGGAAAGAGTGCAGAAAGTCACAACACAGAGGATTTGAGTCTCTTTGTGCATGGATCACAAAATGCTATCATCTAAGTTCAGCGGATAAAAGGAAAGACAAAAGAATAGAAGTATATACAACAGAGAAGTCTTATTAAGATTATACAAGGCACTGGTTAGGCCAGACCTAGAATGCTGTGAATAGTTTTGGTACTGTTATCTAGACAAAGGTACATTGGCATTGGAGGCAGTTCTCTAGTTTGATTCTCAGTATAGAAGGATTTCCTGTAAGGAGAATTTGTGTGAGGTGCTTTGTTTTCATTAGAGTTTAGAAAAGTGAGATGAAACCTTGTTGAAGCATGTAAGATACTTAAAGGATTTCACAGGACAGATGTTGAGAAGTTGTTTCTCCTTGAGGAAGAGTCTAGAACACAGTAAGGGATTTCCCACTTACTACAGAGGTGAGGAGGATTTTTTTTCAATCTCAGAGGGTAATCAACCTGTAGAGACTGGGTCATTGAATATATTGGAAGTTAAGATAGACAGTTTTTTCTAAGCACTGAGGGAACCAAGGTTATTGGGGAAAGGCAGGAAAACAGAGTTGAAGACCACCAGATCAGTTATGATCTCATTGAATGATGCAGCAGACCCGATGGGCTGAATGGTCTGCTTCTGTTCCTATGTCTTATGGCCTTATAGGCAGATTAGCAATGATCTTATAGAAAGGCATAGCAGGCTTGAGGGGCTGAAAGGTCTACTGCTGCTTCTATTTCTTATATTTTTATGTTCTAACTGGACGTTTCTGACGTGAAGGCTTTACATGAATCATTTCCGTCATACTTCATCTAATACTATCAATATTCTTTTCTCCTTTATGTGCTTTACCTATCTTCCCCTTAACCATTTAATTTTGTCATGTTTGCATTTATGATGTTCATCACATCTCATGAACAAATTATCTGTGTGAAGATTCTTTAGGTGCTTATAGCTTGTTCCTTTAAATGTTGATTTAGTGTTCAAAAAATAATATAAAGGAAAACTTTTCAACAGCAAATATCAAGAGATAAGTAGTCAAATGTTCACCCCGAGAACATCCTTCTATGAATTATAAAAAAAATTGAGATTTGAATGATTTGTCTTCATTACGTTGGTCTTATTCTAATAAGATAACATGGATTTCTAGTGCATGCCATAAAACTGACTTTAAGGTTAATAATATTGACTATTGAACAAACAATAAGGTAGATCAGTGAATTTGAATTGGTGAGATTTTTAAGTGGGAGATCTTTGAGAGGAAATATATCTCTTGGCAATTCTCTTAATGGGTCAACAAGTTTATCCAATGAGTACTTGAGCATTATAATTCAAAACAATCCCATGTTTTATTGCCAGTTTGCATTGAGTTAATTGCATGACAGTTATAATTAACAGGGTAAGATTTTGATATCATTCAGGGAGGAGAGTGCCAGGTAAGGATTTCATATTTGTCTTGCATCACACAACGCACTCTGCAACTGTATGTGTGTGGCAATCAGCTGGGGAGAAAATTGGATTTGACTATGATGTCCCATGTAATCAAATAGTGCAGAAACACTCACTTTCAAGGATAATACATAAGTAATGGCTACTTACCAGATAGTAACTTGAACTACAGAACTGTATCACAGCAAGGAATCAATTTCTTGGTAGAACAGGGGACAGGAGAAAATGCACTCCTGTTGTTCACCTTATTTGCTAGTCCAAGCTAGTGATGCCCATTTTCATAGTTGCTGGGTGAGACAGAATTCTTGTTTGCTGTGCAATGTATATGGTTTTCATTTTGCATTGTAACTCCTCGATTATGATAATTATTTGCTATTTTATAATAGAGTTTATATTCTATTTCACACTAAGTGTTTATCCAAAAATTAACTGATATTCAGTGTCATATAATGTTTAAAGCAACCAATTATATCCTTTATCGCAGTTAAGTTTGAAAGCATGTATGAAGAAATTGCCCTGTAAATGAAATAGCATTGCATGAACTTGGAAAGTGATGTTGCATAAAAGTAGAAAAGAGAGAACTGATTATTTCAGGCAAGTGAAAAAGAATAATAGACAAGTGAACACAAGAATTACATGTAGATGTCATTACCAGTTCTCTTCTCTTTATGAGAATCATGGCATACTCTATCATTGTCAAATCAACCAGCACATGATCTTACACTGATTCAATCAAGCTATTGATTGGTTATTGACAGGCAATTACACAAACCTGAGAATCTTGCACTACATTGAACAGGATGGACAAAGGTAATCACCAACCAATCCAGCTACACAGCCAAAATTGTTCGACATGAAATTGCCTACTAAGCTTCCAAAAAGGCAAGCATTAAGTGCATGCACATTTCTCTCCAGAAAGGATAAGTTTGATTTGTTGGCAGAAGAACAACATGTCAGGAAACTTTTGAATGCATGTCAAATACAAAACATGCAGAACTGTTTAGATTTATGAAAGTTTCCATATGTCACTCTGTCACTTATTAATCTTGCGTTGTAGATAGTCATGCTCACAAGCAAAAGGATCCCCTCACTAGTGGAATTTGCAATATTAGCAGGTTACTTCTTTTATTCATTCATGGGATTTGGGCATCGCTGGCTGGGCCAGCATTTGATGCCCAACTGTAATTGCCCTGAGAAGTTGGTGGTGAGCTGCCTTCTTGAACTGCTGCAGTCCTTGGAAGCAGGCACACTCACAATGCTGTTAAGAAGGGAATTCTAGGATTTTGATCCAGCAACAGTGAACAATAGGAGATATTTTTCCAAGTTAGGATAGTATGAGGTTTGGTAGGTAGATTCCAGTTACCTGCTGCTCTTGTCCTTTTAGTTGGTGGAGGTCACAGATTTGGAAGATGCTGTTGAAGGAAATTTGGTAAATTGCCACTGTGCATCTTTTATGTGGTTCACATGGCTGCCACTGTGCATCTGTGGTGGAGTATGTGAATGCTGAAGGTGGTAGATGATGTGTCAATCAAGTTGGAAGCTTTGCTGTGACTTTTTGAGTATAGTTGGAGCTGCAGCTATCCTTGCAAGTGGAATGTATCTCATCATGTTCCTGACTTATGCCCTGTATTTGATTGGGTGGGGAATATAGTGTTCTAAGAAATTGTTCAAAATGTACTATCTTAACTCCTCCTCAATGCTAATTTGATTTATCCAATCTGTATAATAATTTATAACACCCACAATTATTGCAGTACCTTTCCATCAAGCTTCCATATTTCTTCAATTAGACTGAAATATTTCTGATGACAGCAATTGTAGCTTGAAAGAAGAGCAAAGAGATGAATATTGAGTACCAGTATGACCTTGACAGTTCCTGATAATACTATCCAATGCCCTGGTTGTAGCTACTATGGGTTTAGTAAGAGCCTCATTACCAAAGTGAAGCATTGATCCTGAATGATGTTCCTGCATGACATGCACTCCTTCAATATGCCCTGGGAATACAGGCATCTCCACAGTCCTCTTCTATGCCTCCCTCTTTTGATGATTGTCTCCTGGTTGCTTGGTGCCCCTCATCATCCTCCAGCACCAAAGATACCCTAATGAGATGATCACTTACATCTGCATTCAGACAATTTTGGGATAACAATAACAACAGTCCATAAGCAGCAAAGTCATTCTCACTGTGGATAGAGCCAAGTTTCCAAATGGAAAAAAACAAAACTGAAGATTGCATAGAAATAAAGTAACAGCCTGAAATAATGAGCCATTAATGAAGAGTGCAGGAGGGCATTACAGGAGAAACATTGGATAAACCTAGAAATAAGGTGTCAAACTAATGAAGGCAATACACAGATCTACTGGATGCTGAACAATTGAAACAGCTTTTGACTGATAGGTCTATGCAATGCCACAACCAATGGATCAGATCTAAGTTCTGCAGTCCTACCACGTTCAGTAATGAAAGGGGTGGACAATTAAACAACTAACAAGATGAGGACGCTCCACAAAAAGTTCCCATCCTCTAAAGTGAGGAAGGCTGGCACAGCAGTGCAAGACAAGCCTGAAGCATTTGGAAAAATCAGCAAGCATTTTACAACAATAGGTAGATGCCAAGTAGAAGTTTGATGTTGGCCATCTTCTGAGGTCCCCAGCATCACTTGTGCCAAGTATCAGTATCAAGTTATTCACTTGACATGATTTTACTGAAGGCTTTAGAGAATTCAAAGCCCTGACAACATTCTGACAATAGTATTGAAAATGTGTGCTAGTAAACTAGTCGTGCCCTTAGACTATTTATTATAGCTACAAGACTGACATCTATGTGGAAAATAGCCCAAGTTTTCCTTGTCCACAAAAAGCCTGCCAATTAATGCACTATGAATCTATTCTTTGTCATCAGCAAATTTTTGGAAGTGGTATTCAATGGTGCTATCAAGTGGCACTTGGAAAGGAATAATCTGCTTACTGATGCTCAGCTTGACTTCCATCAAGGCCACTTGGCTCTTGACCTCAATACAGCCTTGGTCCAAACATGGACCAAAGCGCTAAACTCCAGGGGTGAGGTGAGAGTTACTGCCCTTAACAGTAGAGGTCCTGGCACAATGGGAGTCTGGGGAAAACTGTGTTAGTTGGACTTAGTTTTAGCACAAAGGAAAATGGTTGTAGTTGTTAGAAGGCAACTACCCCAGTCTAATAACATCAGTGTAGGAGTTTTCCATGGTACTGTCCTAGGCCCAACCATTTTCAGTTGCTTCCTCAATGACCTATCCCTTAGCATAAGATCAGAAGTGGGGATGTTCACTGATGATTGCATAATGTTCTGCACCAATTGCGACTCCTGAAGCAGTCCATGTTTAAATACAGTGAAATTTTTTGGACAATATTCAGGATTGGTCTGATAAATGGTAACATCCATGCCACACATGTGCTAGGCAATGACCATCTCCAACAATAGACAATTTAACCACCTCCCCTTGAAGTTTAATGGGATTACTATCGCTGAATCCTCTACAGGCAACATCATTAAGGCTGCCATTGACTGACCATTGCCAGAAACCGAACTGGCCCAACCAAATAAATGTTGTATCTATAAGAGCAGGTCAGAGGCTAGGAATTCTGTGGCAAGCAACTCAGCACATGTTTCTAGAACGCCTGTCCTGTTGAAATGACAGTATCAATTTATAATAAAGGATCCTCTGTGAAAGTGTGATAACTCCAAAAAAAATCACATTCAGTTTGAAAGTCTTAAAGGTACAAAGACAGAGTTGGCTGCAGTATGCTGAGAAAATGGGTTAAAATGAAAGTTGGTACATAAGCAACAGCAGATGTTAAGAAGATGTTTCATAACTTTCAACTCAGCTTCATTCCAATAAGAAACAAATACTGTACAAGAAAGATGCAAAATTTGTGGCTAAGAAAATAAGGAATGGTATCAAATTGGCAGAAAGTAAATATAATTCTCTGAAGATTATTGATAGACCAAAAGATTGGGAAAATTTTAGAAACAAGCAAAAGAAAGAGGGATATTTGAATTTAAAAATAAACTGGGAATAAATATCAAAACAGGCACAGCCTCTGCAAATATATAAAAAGAAATAGAAATTGAATATTAGTCCATTATGTGATGTGGAAATAGATAATGGGATATAAGGAAATAACAAAGATTTGAAGAAGTATTTTCTATCTGTTTCCATAGTAGAAGACGCAAGAAACCTAAGAATAGTAGAAAATCATGGGACAAAAAGAAAGGTAGGCATTAAAACAATAATTACTACTCGAGAAAAATATGAAGAAACTGAGGACTGAAGGCTGAAAGCCTGGACATGATTTTTCCATTTTACTATCTTAAAATGAGTGGCTATAGAGAAAACAGATGCATAGCTTGTAATCTTCCAAAATTCCCTTGATTCTAGAAGCATTTTTTGGATTGAAAAACTTCAAATGTAAAACCTGTATTGAAGAAAGGAGATACAAAAAGCAGAAGACTACAGCCGCTCCAGCCTAACATCTGAAAATTGGGAAATACTTGAATCAATTATTGACAAACTATTTCCCAAACATTTTGAAAAATATAATGCATTATAACACGGTTTTATGAAAGTGGAATCATTTTTGACAAACTTATTAGAGTTTTTGAAAATGTAATAAGCAAGCTAGATACAGTGGAACCAATAGAAGTAGTGTATTAGATTTTCAAAATACATTCAACACAAGCTCACAGCTTGAGGTAAGACGTTAACATGAATAGGGGATTGACTGACTAATAGGATGCGGAGTGAAATAGGTTGGTCCTTTTCAGATTTGCAAAACTGTCACTAGTGGAATGTAACAATCAGTGCTTCAGCTGCAATTGTTAGCAATCTATATTAAACTGTTGGATGGAGGTACAGAGGGCAAATAGGAGTCTGAGCAATGTGGGCTGTGACCAGATGTGTGGCAGAATTGGGCTTAAAATGTAGCAAGGCCCATCTTGACATCAGGATCATCTCTCTCCATCTTTTACGCTCTTCACAAGCTGTTTGTCAAGAAACTTATGAGGCAATGTTAAGATGCCAATTGATAGAGATTGACACGTATTTAAAGCTATGTTAATGATACAACATACCTAATTAATATTCAGTTTTTTATCTTCTCAATCTCATCAGATGTGTTCAACTTTGTGAAAACTTGACCCAGAAACTAAAGTGTGTACCTGGCGGATTCAGCCCACCACTTGCTCCAAATGACCTCCATGTTGGAAACCAATATCTCAGTACATGTTGTATGGGAACCAGCTACACACAAGCCCACACCATGGAGACTGGTATCTGACATGTTTCAGCCTCTAAAACCCCTAATGGCTCACTTACAGAATGGTTTTGCACTTCGATCGCCCCTCAGGTTACATTGGCAGCTATCATTGTAGTGCTGCAGCAAGGACACTGTGCACTTAAGGACATATACCTAGCTGATGAATTAGACCAGGCTGCATCTTCAGGGTCTTTGTTTGCTTTCATAATGCTGACTCATTCTGAACTCACCTGGATGCCCATTACAATACCTTGCTTTTTTTCACTGGCGGAAAATTCCATGATACTAGATCCTATCAGCTTAGTCCAATGACCTTCTTTGCATCCTTGGGGTAAGTGCTAACATTTTCTCTCTGCTACTTCACACTCTCACTCATACTCACAATGGACACACTTCCCACAAAATCTAACTGGCTACCACTTGGGATACCTCACTACCTATCCCTGCCTCCATACTAGTGTGAGCTATGGCAACTACTTTCATAACAATCATTCCTTCCTTTTGTCTCATTTCAGGAGAAAATTCCCCATAAAAGAGTGAAAAGAGCCAAGTTGGGTGGTGGGTTGCCTGATAATTAGCTCCAAACGCCTACAAAGAGAGGATCCTGGCCCTGGCTAACAAAAACTGGGACCACTTCTGTTGCGAGGCTGAAATCTCCAGGGTTCAGTAAACAAGTAATAAGAATCGTCTGCTGCTATGCTACTCTCTCACTCCTACCACAGCAAATGCATGCTCAAGCTTCTACCCTTTGTTTGTAAGGCATTCTCTGTTTTGTCTTCTGCAAGCACCAGTGGAATAAGTATTGTGTTGTCATCCAAGAGATCAGCCCTGCAAGACATTTTCTCTTCCACATCTGAAGCCAAAAGATGCTGCTCTCAGAGGAAGAACCGGCAAACCTCTCCTAGCTCAAAGATTGACTCCTTTGTGGGTATTTTAATGATTATGGGATTAAGAATGGGGAGCATGTCATGCAGGGAGTCTTGGACTTAGCCCCTTCCGCTTGGTAAAACTCCCAAATCTTCACATTCCCTTCTGAATAGCCGTCCCTGTCAATCCCATTACTTTTTAACATCACCGCATTCCTACCCAAATTGTCTATCTAAATCTTTATCTTCACAATTGTTATTTCCTCTCTGTCCCAGCATGCCCACCTCCAATCTCCAAAATTAAGATTTCCTGGCTTCTCTCCCATAACAGTGGCCCCTGTTAACTCCCCTTTTACTTTTTAATGGATGACCCCCCAGGACTGGCAGGGCCCACGCCCTTAACAGACATAGATAGGCCAAGGATGTGATCAAACCTCTGACTAATCTTGGTGCAGCTCTCTGATTGACTTATTGCAACTCCCTAGACTGTTTGCACTGGATCCATAGGGCTGACTATTGCCCACTCCCCAGACTGCAGAGGTACAAAAGACCTGACTCTGACCATTTCAAGCTGGGGACTGACTGTACCCAAGCCCCTGAACTGGTATAGGAGGCTGCCTTTGACTTATTGGACCTGGACTCCCAGAATGAAGGGTACTTCCCTTGATTTGACTGAGGATTATTCTCCTTAGATTTTGAGACCTAGCCATTTGGTTGAAGTACATACGTTGTGTTTGCCACGTAAGCTGCTGGCACAACATGCGGGTGTGAGATTGATGTACCATGGCAACATACAGAAACACGTCCATCCCTTTGACTGATGACTATTGACAACTATGTCTAGCTGCCTGACCTATTGTCTGGCATAAAAGGCAAGACAGAAATATCACGAGTCTTTATGCTCTGTCTGAAGGGGCAAAGGTAGGGATGCTGTGAGCATCAAAGTATACGCAAAATGAGTGAGTGCTAAGAGAGCAAGTGTGGATCTCTGAGCTGCATCCTAGTCTAATCCATGAGTTGGGTTCTTGTTCCCGTACACAGTGTTTTGGCAGCAGCATTGCAATGAGAGGTGCCAGTTTTCTCCAAAGTGCAAAACTGAAGTACAGGATGCTACTGTAAATGAATCAGATATATATTGTGATGAGGAGATGAGACTGGTACATGTCAGATGCTTAGATCTGTGGAAGGGAGGCATGCCCATGGAGCACATGCTGAGATATTGGAGACTGTTATCCAAGATGCAGGTCAGGAGAAACAAGGGGCAAACTGGAGTTGCCAGGTAATTGACTTTCATATTGGGAATTGTCACTATCTGATCTCTATCCAGTAGGTGGTAAATGAAGTGAGATTAATTAATAATGAGATATCAATGCATGTTAATACACACAAATAGGCATTTCATTGCTCACGAGTGAGAATATTGACTCACTGCCCAACATTTGGTTGGGAAATTGGACTTTTATTCTTGATGTTAAGAAGCTTCTTACTGGCCATTTCACATACTTTTTCCCAATTTTCTCACAATGGCCTATATCATTGAGGGTCTAGGAAGATTCCACCTAGAGTGATTTTTTTCACAAGGTTGTTAATCTTGAGTTCTCTACCCCATAGAAGAGTGAAAGTTGTCTAACTGGAAAATTGAAAAACTGAGTTAGACAGGCTGTTCATCTGCAAGGGAGTCAAGGATTATGATGGTCACGTTGGAATGCATAGCTGGTTGCGAATATAGGCGGCACATTATTCAGTACTATGTCTACAATCCCAGCAGAAGATTCTTTCATCTTGTGCCAGACTTCTGTGTTACCTTTATTGCAACAAGTCTAACACTTTATCAGCTGGCCAGTAGTTGAAAAGAAATCGTGTTTAACCAACATTGGAAATCATTTGAAGAAGTGACATGTGGTATAGATGAAGGGGAACCAGTGGATGTACTGCAAGGATTTTCAGAGGAATTTCATAAGGTGCCGCACCAAAGTATTGACTTGCTAACAGGAAACAAAAGTTAAGAATCAATTAGCCTTTTACTGGTTGGCATGATGTAACAAGTGGTGTGCCATTTGGATCAGTTCTGTGAGGTGGAGGTTATCGTTTGTGAACTGGAGATCTGCTGAGGCTTCTGGATGGCATTTATCACTGGAGGACAATATCAAGAGCTCTGTGCCTAGAGAACCCCATTGCATTCTGTAATTTTGTTTGGTTCTTTCGGTTCGACAAGTGTCTGTATGAAATAGAGAGTAGATTTTGATCTAGAATTTATTATGTGTTTTCAAATACAGAAATACGGGAATACAGATTCGGAAATAGATTCAGCAATCACTTCTGATAACTAACAGTATTCGAACAACAATGAACTTTAGTCAAAAATATGACCTTTTACTTCCTTCTTTTGTCTCCTAATAATAAGTTAAAATCAGTTGGTGCAGTTAGGAACCACACAATGAGAATAAATGCACATAAGATGCCACCTATGAATAATTTGTCCCAGGGTTGTGGCCAGTGAAGCATCACATGCAGATTGTTTCAGCCAGATTCATTGCTCTTTTGTTAAGTAATAATGTAAATGTGAAGCTGAAATCTGACAGTTGTAAAATATCTTGTTTGGCCAAAAATTAATTAGTTGCGCAGCAGAAGCTTGCACATATGATTTAGGTGACAGTATCTGTCATTTTGTTCCTTCACTGTCATCTCACCAGTTGATTATTTTTATGCAGCTGTTGTTGCCTTAAATATCTGCATCTATGCAGGATGCCAACAAATGGTCAAAAAGTACTTTCTCTTTTGTTTTTAGAGAAACAGTTTGAAAATGCCAATCATTGTCTCATCAATCGTAACAAAGGAATTGTTTTGTTATATATTCCCTGCCTGCAACTCTCAGTTGAATTTCCCTTTTTGTTTTGCTAGGTGCCTGAAATATAACTCAATAGTATCAAGAAAGCATGATCCCTTGTTTTTGTACTGGGTTCAGTAGTGACATTTTGTGCTCAATTGGCAAGATGGATTAGTTGAGTTCATGGAACAGTATGGGATCTGCCAGTTCTTTCTGTTCCCAAGAAGGAATGTCTTGTACTCCATCGCGTGACCCAGCTCAAAGCTGATGAAACTTGCTGAACTGAAAAGAGTACGTTTGAGTGCCAGGCAGTCCTGGGACTACATCTCACAAAGTGTTGGATGGTGTTTAAGTGTCTCTGTCATTTGTGCAAGTAAATTACGCAACTGCTCAATATTCTTTTGATTTAGTTCTTGTTTGTTAATCTAACGTCATTGCATGTTGGTTTATAGCCAACCAATGAAATTCATATCTACTCTTTCTTTTCTTAAAGATTTTACTTCAGTTCTTAATATTCCTGTAAAATAAAAAGTTACCTGTATTGTCTTTAGGTAGTAATGAGCACCTAATTAAAAGGAAGACAAAATCACTTTCCTGTGATGATAGTTTTTGCAGTTGTTGACATTGTTATTATTCACATTCTGCAAGAAATATTTAGTCCTCAGAAAAGGGCATGTGTGACCCATTGAATAATTTGAAGAATGCATGGTCTAGTGAAGACAAAAGTGTAAAATTTGTATTAAAATATCTTTTTTGTTATTTAAAAAGGAAAAAATAGATATTTTACTAAATTTAGCACCTGAGATGGTAAACATCTATAAGTTGATAACTTTTGAGTTGTGTTACGTTTAGTAAAAGAGTAATTTGCTGATGTCTATTTAAAACTTGATCGCTTTTGTGGAAAAAAATTACACGTAAACATTAATGCAACAGATTTACAATTATATCCCAATCGAAAAAAAATATAATTTATGGGGTTTGATGGGGTTAGATTGAATATGCACAGCAATTGGCTGCAGTTGCAATAATTTTTCTCTGATGCTACTTTTTGAAAAGTGTCTTTGCATATTCTCCTCACAAACAATAATTCATCATCTATGGAGTAATTTATTTTCTTCTGCTTTTAATATGTTACAGATGAATGGTTGTATGTCTTTCCTGTTAGAGTATTACAAGACAGACCATTTTTGCAATTGGCTCATAATACAGCTGATACCTGTGGTGTTCTTCATGGTTCATGTGGTACTAATTTAAATGGGAAGTTGCACATATTTCATTGAAGCACTCCGAAAGCTAGCTTTCACAGAAGGGTGCAGATGATAGACTGTTCTCTCCATGTAGCTGAACTGCTCTAAATATGTCAGGGAGGGTTATGGATCATTTCATTCACCCATCAGCTTTAGTCTACAGTGTGTACAAATCACTGTGCAGTGTCATCGAACAGAACATTCCTGACAGTGGCAATACACTGGTGAAACTACCTGTGCTAAATGTGGGTCTGTGTGTATTGTTCAAGTATCTTATCCATTTAAAAAGCTGCCACAATTATTCCAAGAATGAAGCATTTTTCCACTACATTTATTACATTCATTTCTTTTTGAAGTTACCTGGATTCCCCAGAATATGTATTTATCATGTATTTATGTAGGTGCATTAATTACTTATGCAATTTCAAAGAGGTTTCTTGATATCGTATTACACTGCTTATTCTTTTCTCTACATTTAAGTTTCTATGGTCTTCAAGGTACTTCAAGGTATCCAGGTACTTCACGATCTCACCAGAAATAATGGCCTAGACAATTGAATGTGTTGAGAATGGGAGAAAACGACTAGGTGCTGATTACCATGATTTGGGGTTATGTGCACTAGAAATTGGCTATATGCTTGTTTAAGGAGATGACAATTAGAGTTTCACTGATCTCACTCATTAGGAACCTGTTAAGGTATAGGTGTACTTTTCATGCAGACAGCAAGCAACCACTTCCAAACATAGAAAAAAAAGGCTCAAGAAAGAACAGACAGTGCATCCAGATAATATTATTGGCAACTTTGAAGCTCCAATTGAGGAAGAGAGAGATCCTACTTCCTCAGGGGAAGAGAGACAGAAATTCCTCCATCACAACTGGCACAAGTTTGTCAAGGAAATGAATGCAAGGTGTTTAGCTCCCTGGACAGGCAATCCCCAAGATGTTCAATGGTCTCACTAATTTGTTGAGATAACGATATTGGTCCTACTCACTGTATGCACTTTCACTTTTTCCAGCAATATTCACAAGTTCCCTTTCTTCGCTTCCTTTCCCTGTCCTACAATTCAACCAAACTCATCATTCTTATTATCTATCCAGAGAGCAAAACACCATGTATTTATGTCTTCAGCCATCACTTCCCACTATCTTCTACCCCTCCCTCCCTAATGTGTTTTATCCAGTTTCCCCTTAAATATCTTTGTTTTTCATCTCAACTGCTCCTTGTGTTACTGGGTTTCACATTGTTGCCTCTCTGAGTAAAGTTGTTTCTTCTCAGCTTCTTACTAATTAGTGACTAGCTTGGATATATGGTGCCATGTGTGCATAGCAAAGAGATGGTGCTGAAGGGTTATTTCTAATTTCTGGAAAATGCATGCTATTTGATCAAAATGCAACAAGTTTCCAAGTTTTTTCTTAGCTTGAAATGGTATCACATATACTTGGGCTTTCTTCAATGATTCTCAAGACCCTGACAGTCTGCTCTGCTTCAACAGGGGAATTTCATTCTCTTAACGAGAAGGGCATGGATTTGCACTGATGTTCTGGTTTACATTGTCCTCTCATTTCTCATTCCCAATGATGGCGAACTGACTCAGCGTTATTTTATCATGCACTTCCAAGTATTCCGCAAATTCATCCTTCAGAATGGACTCTAATATCTTACCAGTGACTGAAGTCAGGCTAACCAGCCTATAATTACCTGTCTTCTGCCTCCATTCCTTCTTAAACAGGGTTGTTACATTAGTCATTTTCCTGTCCTCTGGGACGCTCCTTAACTCCAGTGATTCCTCAAAGATCCACACTAAGGCTTCAACAATCTCCTTAGCTATCTCCTTCAGAGCTCCAGTTGATTTATTCACCTTTACAACTCTCAGCTCCCCCAGTATCTTGTACTTAGAGATGGCCACTGCACTCACTTCTGCTCCTTGACTCTCTTGTCTTTCTGGTTTGCTACTGGTGTCTTTCACCATGAAGACTGATGCAAATCAGTTCCTCTGCCATTTCTTTGTACCCCATTACTACTTCTCCAGCCTCATTTTTCAGTGATCCAATATAAAACTCTTGCCTTTCACTTTCCTTTTATATATCTAATAGAACTCTTTCAATCTTCTTTTATGAGTTAGCTTACTCTCATATTTCATCTTTTCCAACCCCCAATGCATTTTTAGTTATCCTTTGCTGATGTTTAAAGGCTTCCTAATCCTCTGGCTTCCCACTGATCTTCACCATACTGTGTGCTTCTTCTCTCATGTTTATGCTGTCATTGACTCCCTTGTCAGCCATAATTATCTCATTCCTCCCCTTAGTATGTTTCATCTTGCATGGGATGAATTTCTGCTGTGCCTCCGAAAATTACACACATAAACTCAATCCATTGCTGATCCACCTTCTTCCCTGTTTAGCTCTTCTTCCAATCAATTCTGGCCAGCTCATCCCTCATGTCTTTGTAGTTATCCTTAACATCTGATTCCAGCTTTTCTCTAGCTTGTGGTGGTGTGGCCGAGCAGTCTAAGGCACTGAATTCAGGTTCCAGTTTCTGCCTAGGCAAGGGTTCAAATCCCAGTGTTGCTAAATATAGGGGCAGCACAATGGATCAGTGGTTTGCACAGTTGCATAACACCAGAGACCCAGGTTTGATTCAAGCCTCAGGCGACTGTCTGTATGGAGTTTGAACATTCCCTCCGTGTCTTTGTGGGTTTTCCCTGGGGATGGTGATTTCCTACTATGGTCCAAAGCTGTGCAGGTTAGGTGGATTGGCCATGCTAAATTGGCTGTAGTGTCCAGGAGGTGCAGGCTAGGTGGAATTTCCATAGGAAATGCAGGACAGAGTAAGGATTGGGTCCTGGTGGGATGCTGTTCCGAGGGTTGGTCAAGACATGATTGGCTGAATGGTCTCTTTCTGCACTGTAAGGATTCTGTGATTCTCCCTCTCAAACTGCAGAGTGAATTCTGTCATTTTATGGTCACTGTCCCCTCAAGGGTCCTTCACCTTAAGGACCCTAATCAAGTCTATATCAGTACACATCAGCAAATCCAGAATTGCCTGTTTCCTAGTGGGCTGTACCACAAACTGCTCCAAAAAGGCCAGGGGTGTTTCTTCTTATGAGAACGAATTGCATATAATACTCTTCTCAGAGAAGCAACACCTTTGCTTGATCCAGATGCTATTCTTGGAGAAGAATAAGCATCCTAACTTCTCATATGTTCCTGAAGCTACATCAATATAATCATTCAGCAAATATTGCCTCGTTTGGGTATCTGGTCAGGCTGGCTCATCAGCTAAATCTCTGATCTAACAAAAACCAGCAGAGCAAAAGGAACCTCAGCATCTTTAGTTCAAGTGCTTCTTTTCCCTGTCATTGACTTTCCTCACCTCCCAGTAATGCATTTAAATCAAGTCAAAGAAAAATTGTATGCCAATATTATAACAAGAAGTAATCTAATAGTTTGAGAAAGTTTATAAATGTTACTTAGTGCTCACGTCACATGGAGAATAGCTTCTCTATGGACACTGGAGCAATCTTGTATTGATGTCACAGAGCTGTTCTGCACTGGACATGAACAGCACCACATGGACAGAGTTAGTTAGATAGAGTTCATTAATAGTCTCTCAACAATGCGACAGTAAGGTTGGACCACAGTATATCATGGATATTCACGTGAAGTCATATTTGGTATCAATTTACAATACATAGGATTGTAATGATCATCCAAAGTCAGTTCTTGACCTTGCATTCTGCCAGAGCAGTGAATATTGAACCCAAACTTTTGGATATGGGCATACAATCACACAAACAAAAACCTAGAAGAATAAGGGAACCAGACATATGAGAACACCAGGACCTCTAAATTCCCCAAAAAGTCACCCACCATCCTGACTTGGGACTACTTCGCAGTTCCTTCACTGCCAGCAGATCCAAACCCTGCACTACGTTCCAATGAGCACTGTGGGTGTAACTACACAACATGTACTGCAGCAGCTCCAGAGGGCAGTTCATCAACACTTCTCAAAGGCAGTAATGTGGATTAGCAATAAATACTGACCTTAAGTGATGCTCACATCTCACAAATGAATAAAAACAACAATTTGAAATATTGGCTAGTAAATTCATCTTTATTGTTGTCATAAAATAACTAACAGTGGATTAGCTGCTTG